TCCGGCTGTCATGAATAAGTAATAATGTCTACGGGGAATCTATCGTTCAATTCAGGATCACCTTAAGAGAAGAATAATATTGAGCCCATATGGAAATTTTCATCTCGCTAGACAGGAACTGAAAAAAGATTAATATCTTATAAGAGTGAAAAAATGTCACTTATGAAATATTCATGTTTTTAATAAATCCCCCTAACGAGAAGCCTGAAACCCAAAATTGATAGCAGAGCATGCGTTTGAATGCTTAAAAATAAGAAACGAGAAGGAAGACAAAATGTAGATCAAAATATGTGTCTGTGCACATGTAACTATCGCTAGTTGTAATAACTTGTTTTGTATAGTGTAATAAATTAATAGATTAACGTAGAAAATTGTACTTTTAAATTTTTTTAAAAAAAGTCGATGTACAAGGTGGTATAAGACCCCAAATAAATTATGGTCTTGTCTTGTCACCTGTATGTATGGGGTACCTTCCAGTCATCAGGGTACTTCGGGTTGGCGTACACATAGGTTGTACATAGTAGTTGTCCAATATGACGCCCTCAGCTGCCAGTCTGTTGATGTTTGGAGTATGAATAACAGATCCTTGAAATCCCACATCACTCCAACCCAGATCATCAATTACAGTCAGTACTATGTTAGGAGGCTTGGAACCATTTGCTGTCTCCAAAACGACCGCGATAAAAAAGAAAGCAAACCAGAAAAAGCGAACCATCGCTTGTTCATTACAGAAATATGAAATACTCTGGATTTATCTATCAGCGGTATCTGGTCTCAAGCTAGGAACACGTGACTACCATGTGACCCTTTCTATTTGTCACTCAGAACTACTCTGGGGCCGTCTAGTGTTTTGTCGATGGTGCAAGCATAATTTTTGGCATAATTTAGCAAACCGAGCGTAACTTTTGGCTTTTATCTTAATTTAGCACCGCTAGCATAATCTGGCTTTTTTGTTTTGAAGTGGTCACGCAATTTATTTTGAAAATACTTCTTTTTACTTATTCTGATGCTGACTGTTTTTGTTGTTCGCTTCAGCACCGATTCCTGTAATCACTAAATATATCTTAGTGGAGCTTGAAGTTACGGGTTTCACGCCTGGTAACAAATGCAGATTTTAACATAAAAATTTATGTTTCTCATAATGTATGTCACGGGATCGACTGGCAAAACTGAAGACAGAAGCTCTTGAACAAGCTGGATTTATTTGAAAAGCACAACAAAACAACATTAAGCTTATTTATGCAAAAAACAAATACTTCAAATAGAATTTAATCCTTTTTAGCGGAGCTTTCTCGCGCGCGAAGCATGCGCAGCGGAGCACCATAGGTAAGAAAATATGGTAAGCTATAAACGCGAGAAATTTTGGTAATCACGTGACCGTCAGACCGTCCGTCCATATGTCAGCCCCTACGTGTTAGCCGTTGTGAAATTTCTCATCCTATCACCCTCGCTTTTTGGCGGTAAATCGGATGGCCATCCGGACTTTTAGAGAGAAAATAAAACAAAGCCGAGTCTTTTTTCCGACTAAATTTTAATTATGTTTACACTAAGGGGGATAACAGAGAAAGAGCTAAAGCGACGGATAAAAAAACAAAGGAGATGTATTTTGTTACAAGAACAACATGAAAATTTATACTGGTGGTGAGAAATTCAAAATGAGAAATGCTAGCGACCAGCTGGGTGAAAATAAGCGGCAGTGAAGATAAAAGCTAACAGAAACACAAGCAACAAAGTCTTTTTTGAGCACATACGCATTTCATCCATAAAACTTGTATTAACTAGGAAGTTTGTCAAGTTTCACGTCGTAGTCGTGCAACAACAACGACAAAGAAATGTACAAAAAAAGCGTGATGCACGTTCAAAGTTGTTTTTTTGCTAATTAGACCTTTTGATTTTTGATTTTTTTTGTGCTTTCCTTTGTTTAAACGTGACAACATTTTACACGCTTCATCAAGTTTCAATCGACGGCACACTCTCAACGAAGTTTGATTTGGAATGCGGCGTACCTCAGGGTTCGTGCCTCGGGCCTTTGTTGTTTGTTGTCTATGCCAACAAGATATTTGAAATTGTTGGCAAACATAATTTAGAGATCCACTGCTATGCGGACGATAGCCAACTCTATTTATCCTTCTGTACTAATGATAATGCTAATCAAGAGGCCGCCTTGGCTAGGGTCGAAAGGTTTATTGAAGACATTCGTAACTGGATACTGAACGACAAATTGAAACTGAACGATGATAAAACTGAATTCATGATCATTGGCACATCGCAGCAACTAGCTAAGGTATCTATTAACAGCCTTCGTGTTTGGACTGCAACTATCACTCCTGTGTCGTCTGCAAGGAACTTGGGCTCGTGGTTTGATTCCAAGCTGACGATGGCAATCCATATTTCAAAAGCATGTAACTCTGCCTTCTATTATTTGTATAATCTGAGACGTATAACAAAATATCCATCTAAAGACAACACCAAGACTTTGGTTCATGCCTTTATTTCAAGCAGAGTCGATTACTGTAACAGTCTTTTATATGGCCTGCCGGAGTATCAACTCAATAAGCTACAGCGTGTGCAGAACATGTGTGCTAGATTAATATACAATGAAAGTAAATATTGTCACATTACTCCTTATTAGTAGATTTACATTGGCTACCTGTAAAGTTCAGAATTGAATTTAAAATCCTGTTGATTGATTTTAAGATTTTTAAGGGCTTAGCACCTTCGTATTTAAGTTTTTTAATTACTCCTAAGCCTGTATCTAAATATAATTTAAGAAGTACTAGCGACAGTACCCTACTTAGTTATCCGAATGTTAAGCCCAAGGCAAAGCAACTCTCGGTGAACGCGCCTTTCTGTTTGCTGCACCTAAGATATGGAATGCTGTGCCAAGATTTATCAGGGAATCCATTTCAATTAACACTTTTAAGAGAAAGTTGAAGACACACCTTTTTAAAAAAGCATTTTGTACCACTTACATTATAAGATTGTATTTTTAGCTTACTAGATTATAAATAATTTTTAACTTCTAATTTTTAAGATTATGCTAGCAGATTTTGTCTTTTTAACCTTTAGCCATTAGTTTTTCTATTCTATATCTATATCATCATCTTATTTTATCATTTTTATTATCATAATTATTCATAATTATTATTATTAGTGGTATCATTGTTTTTTTTTCTCCCTATGGCGCATTTGAATATATTTATATAGATATTTGCGCCTTGTAAGTTTTTGAAATTAATTAAATTGACATTTTATGCTAGAATGGCTCAGTTTTCTTGCATGTTTGCAATCGAGCTAATGTTAAGCACAGATATGAAAGACTTCTTCGCAGTGGTTTTAAGTTTATTTTTTGGTTAAGTATATAAACGAGATCTTCGCTGTTAGCCTTGGCGAAATCTATATATTAGGTGCGGTTACGCAGGACAATTTAACGTGATAAATGAGCATTTTATTTATATTTTATTTTTAGTGTTTTTCCGTTTCCATGAGCATTTTGCTGATTCTGATGAATGACTGCGTATGATTTGTATGACACATGGGCGGATATAGGGGGAGGGTGCAGGGGGTGCGCACCTCCCCTCCCTGAGATTACCTGCGGTTTTCTAATACAACTGGTATTCTGCAAAAAAAAAAAACTATGTGGTTTATTGGTGTTGAAGTAGAGCAAGAGACGAGTGCACCCCCTCCTAAAAAAAAACCTGGATCCGCCCCTGTGACAATATAACATAGCTAGAATAGTCTCCTAATTCAATAGCGCGAGCGTGCTTCATATTCCCATTGAGCCCGCTAATGACGTCGATAAACTATACCTCGAGTTTTTCGTGAACTTAGCAATCCCGGCTCCCAAGTGCATCCATAACTTAATAGCAGACGATGAAGCGGTTACCATGTGTTTCATAAGGTAAACTGAAGAGAAACACTTTTGAATTTGTCAACAGGTAGTAGAGGGCTAGAGACGGATATGTATATGTTGTCAGCTGCGAGCTATGGCGGGTGCAAATCATTCTTTGCAAAGTCTTAGTTTTTGTCCAAAAGGAATTTTGTGGCAAATTGGTAGTTTTCCATCTCAATATGGATTCTAAGAACTTTTTGAATGTTGTCTCAAGCGAGAGTTCTGTAAACTTTTTCCCATGAAGCTTGAAGATAACTGAGGAAACATAACTATGAGTTAAACAAATTGTCACGTAGACACTGACGCGTACTGCTTTGAGCGGGTAACTGCCGCATTGATCACGTTAAAAATGTCATAAAACAAATGGTTCATGATTCAGCTGTGCGTATGTCGAGGCATGAAGCACTTGGGAAGTTTGTAGAGGACGCAAGAATCTAGAGTTGCTTCGTCTCAGCTGCGACTCGAGCAACTCTTACGCCTCTTTCGTGCTCTCCGAACTTCCCGCCGTGCTTCATATCTCGACATGCGCACAGCAGAATCGTGAACCAATTGTTAATTTAACGACAGATTGTTGGATCTTTATTAAAAACTAACCCGCAGTCATTAGATAAGGGCTTGTTCCTTGTTTAACTGGTGTCTACTAAACGATTTACCCTCTTGTGCTCTTATTATAATTCATTTGAGTCTGATTTTAGATGGACGTTTAGTCTGCGCATCAGTTTTGTTGGTCCCTCAGTACCAGCTCAGTTTCTAGCAAGTTAATAAGGGCTGCCCCCAAATAAGCGCCGCGGCCCTGATGCAATTAGAATCTAAAGGCATTTCTGTCAGTAACTGATAATAATAATACTGCAACCTTAAAAAAAAATTTTGCGCCCAACGTTCAAATAAAAGCCGCCCTTGAATAAACGCCGCGTTTAAGGCGTGACATATCTAAAAAGCACCGTGATGTTCATTCGAGAAACTTAAACTTTGATAACATTTCCCAATTTACGTTGACCTTCCCTCATATTATACCCACTGTTTTGATAAACATTTGCTAACCCCGTAAGGAGACAATCCTATACTTAACACCTCAAATTCCACATATGTCCCCATTTAAATCTCATGTTTATTGGACTTCCTCTTCCACCTTGCTTCTCCAAGGCGTCCAAATACCATTCTTCCGCGCAACATCCCAAGCCTGACTGTCCGCAGGCTTGTTCAGAGGGAGTACAGCGCTATGTTTGTAAAACTCCAGTCTGTCTTGCAATTTTTGGACGACGTCCGGTAACGTTTGGCTTAAGTCATTGTGTTCCGTAGGATCAGCAGTAATATTGTAAAGAGCAACTTCAATTAAACCTCTCGCATGAGAATTCTGAAAATGACAAAAAGAGACAATCGTCTTTATTCAACATTAGAAGAAACGAAAAAAAAGCAATACACGGATTACTTGCCGTTGTAAGATGTCCCTTCCTCAGAGCCAAACAACAGAAAGTTTCAATTGTTGGAGATTATCAGTGGCGGGTCCATACCTCCAGATAAGGGGGCGTGGGGGGTGGTCATCCAGATCCTGAGATAAGGGGGAGGGGGCGGTCGTAAAATTTTTTTCTGCCCTTCGGGCCTCAGTTTGGTCAGAAAATAAGTGGGGGGGGGGGGGGGGCCCCGGGGCCACTCCCCTGGATCCGCTACTGATTATGTTTTCAACTGCTTTTATCCTGCGCATGCATGGTAACGAAAACTTCACACCACCACCTAGCCTGCGTCGCAGACGTAATCTAATCCCAGTAAGTAACGTCTGCGAAGCAGCGGACTCAACGAATTGCCGGAAGTACGTTTCGTATACTCCTTCAACCTGATTGGCAAATCGATAATGGCATTTTTGACAGGCCAATCATGGCGCAAGGCGTACTCAAATCCTGGTAAACAGCTGGGGCTCAGAACAAGGATTTCGGCGCTGTTAGTTCGGTCTATGGCTCAGGCTAGCCACCACCCGGAGGCCCCTTACTTTTTGACGAGAATAGCATTTTTTTCTGTTTGTGACCATAAAAGTAAGTACGCTCTCAAAATCACTGATCCTTTCGTTAGCATGATACTTGTCGCATGTGTACCTTGTAACTGACCTTGACCTTCATAATTCTCTCAAACGCTAAGTGGAAAGAGCGGTCAACCAGTGTTTGGGAACTCATGGATCCGGTTTCTCTAAGGAATCGAGATTTTGTTCATCAAAAAATATTCCGCGTGATAGACCTTTAGTTACTAACCGTTTCTTTGTTATGAAGTTCTGGTGGCTTGAACCAAGTGGAATTCGGACAGCTCACCAATAGCTTCATATCTGCAACACGAATTGCCGCGCCCTGATAATAGGGGTCGATAGACTCCATCCCTCGGTAACGCTTCTCCTTCGGTGCTAAGTCGATGTTCAGGAGAATTTCAGTTCTTGGAGACGGCTTGCCTGTAGAAATTGTCTCCCATACATCAAAGCCGTCTACTGGTACAGGATGATCATCGACTTTTCCTCCTGAAAGAATGAAGTACTTGATTACGTCTTATGTATGACAAAGCTTGAAATGCAATATCTACGTTTTTGTCCTACTTATTAGGATAGTATCCTGTTTGCTGTGCCGGAATCCAATGATATATTTTTGTGTTTTTCAGGAGTAACTTCCGTTAAAGGTGAACTTACGCTTGTAAAACCTGCTGGAAACTCAGCCAAAAAATACCTTTTATGTGAAAACAAAGCAAAAGCTAACAAAAATTACGTCTTTCCGCACTTGGACTGAAGATTAAGCTCAAGTACCACCACGATTGATCAGTGTAGGATACCAGTCTGTCGAGTGAAGCATTACTTCCCATCTTTGCTTTTTATGCAAGTCACTGGTCCATAGACGAGGGCCACCCCCTCGGACCCATCCCTCCCTTCCACTCCTTCTTACTTCCTAGGTTGATTAGTGTGGGATAACAGTCGATCAGTAGAGTGAAGCAATTCTTTGCCTTTGACGCCTGTTCTCTTAAGCATCGACCCGCGTACAAAAGCCAGCCCTTCGTACCCCCCCTCCCTCCCTCTTCTTCTTACCTGCGAGGTTGATCAGTGTGGGATACCAGTCCGTAGAGTGAAGCAATTCTTTACTTTTCACGCCTGTTCTCTTCAGCATTGGCCCATGGACAAATGCTACCCCTCGTACTCCTCCCTCCCAGAGAGTTTTCTTCTGTCCGCGCAAAGGCCAGTTGTAACCTCCTGACTCAGGAAGTCCTCCGTTGTCAGTGGTGAAGATGAACAAAGTGTTGTCCCAAAGGCTGCGTTGAAAGGATAATTGATAATTTTTTTACTTCACGCGTTCGTGATTTGTTCAGTGCCTATCAGTTACATGGCACCTCACTAAGTCTGTTGAAAAATATTTAGAGTATACCCTCGACGATAGCCTGCGAGCAAGCTCTCCATATGGGGGAGTCGCAAGAAGTCACGCGAGAGCTGCTCGCGAAAGGAGACGCGAGTGCGAGGAGCGGGGATGTTTGATGGCCCATCGTGGCTTCGCCGCTCCCTCGCGCGTTTTCTCGCGGCTCGTTTCCCTTGCTGTAAGTGGGGAGAGCTTGCTCGCAGGCTACGTCAACGAGGGTCAGTAGGGAGTTTAAGATCCAACGCGGACGGCAACGAGAACGTAAAAAACAATAGGTTTTATAAGCAAAACAACAACTTTGCACCTGCATCACGCGTTTTTGTACGACTACGACGTGAAAATGCCTAATTTCGCTTTTTATGGAGGACATAAACAAGCAACGACGTAATTTAATTTCTCTTTTTGAACTTGGATATGGTCCCTAAGAATTCAATTCCAGGAGGGATCACCTACATTTGACAAAGTAAGTGGGAAGGAATAATTGCGATAAAGACTCAAAGAACGGAAATTCACATTTTAAGCGACGTTATTGTTGCCGTCTCGTCGTTGGATCTTAAAGTCCCTAGTGTCACTGACAAATACTTGAACATCTTTGCACCTATGAGCTATAAAACATAGCATATAGTGATACTGAACCGTCTCAGTCAATTAGCGTTTCGTTTTAGTATAATAAAGTAATGTCAGGGGCTGCGAAGCAAACTCCAATGATATGCGATGGAAAGGATTTCTACCACACAACCAGAGTCTACGTCACCTGCTTCTTTTCTAAATTAGCAGTGTGGACTGAATTAAAGTACATCACAACCAGTACGACCTTAGTAGCTAAATCTCATTAAGACGTCGGCCTCGGCTGTTCTGGCTTCTGTTTGGGGTTTAAACCGCTGCTTGAGGGGTGCGGCAAACCGGCGCTCCGCGAACTGTAGTGAAAGTAAAAGGAATTCAATGTATATTACCCTGCTTTCTCTAAGCTCCTTGTCACGTTACCAATAGCTTCATCGACAATATCCAGCATGGCTGCATACGTCCTCCGTGTTTTGTTATCGATGAAGCTGTATTTGTCGATGTATTTTTGCGGTGCTTGAACAGGAAAATGAACATTTTGAAACGGCAAGTACAGGAAGAGAGGCCTTGAAGAATTGTGCTCCTTGATAACTTTCAGTGCTTGCTGTGTTTTAGATGATAAAAGAGATAAAAATAGTTTTGCTCTGCTGGAAAGTTAGCATGTTTCAGGCGTTCAGATCGTGTGGGGACCGCACAAAGACTAGATGTGAGCAGAGAAAACAGGGAGGGGTTATTTTTATTTTTCCCGCCGTCTGACTGCGTGCCACGCTCTCCTATCTAAACGCCTGGAACAGACTACTTGAAAGTGGTTTAATGTTATCATGGCGTAACGTTATTCCCCACTTCAGAGGCTTTTACTAGCAGACAAAAAAGAGTTGTAAACATGCGAGAGTTAATGGAAAGAGAATAAAGGGCACGACTTTTCTTTCCTCTTTCAAGCGCCCCAGGCGCGCTTTCTATCTCCAGTCCCCAGCCTCCGCACAGTTTTGAGAAATGGCACAGTCGAGGAAGTAGAGGACTTTGTGCTGCGAAGAGGTAAAGAGAGAACGAGACCTTATGAACCAAACGGTTTTGCTCGGAAAGAAAGAAAATCATACAATCAAACCTCCTAAATACGGACACACGGACACCAAAGAGATAGGACAAAATGTCCCCTTTTCAGTGGTATCCGGATTGTAGACGTAGTAACTATATGAAGGTTGGTATCTCTGAAATCAAGAGAACTGTTCTAGAAATTTAAACGTTTCCAAGGGTATAGGTAGTGAGAGATCCCACTGCTCCGCGTTTTTGAGTTAATCTGTAGTTAATGCAATCCGTTTTGCTAAAAATCAATAAACTTTCTCCATTTTTTAATTTTTCTTTTTTACCTTAGTAAAGAGGTTGGCTGAGTACGTTCCGTTCATGTCCCGCACAGGTGAGGTATCGTCCCGTAAATCCAGAATCCCGAGGCGTTCATGCTCGAAGTGATCTCCACAGCCCGTGTAGAAACCATAATAAGACTCGAAACCGCGGTAGGTCGGCGTGTATGACCACTCAAAAAAACCAAGATGCCATTTACCAACCATATGTGTGGCGTAACCTATGAGAATACAACACCAATGCGCATGGGGTTTGTCAAGTTGTCCTTGTGCTACCTAGACAGAGTGGCTGTCCTGTGGTGATTTTAAAGGACTAAGCCCTGTCTCTCATTCATCTCCTTTTTGCTGTTAAAAGGTGAGGTGAGCGCAAAAAACATGAGGGGGTGGGGATAAGGGAAGGGGGGGGGGGGTTCTGTTCCCTTCCCTCTCACTCTCCGCTGATTTTTTCCCCTCGCCAAAATTAAGAAGTGGCTTGCACGCACAGGAATTAACGGCTGTCACACAGGCTAACCAATAAAAAGGCACTATAAAAACCTGAAACTTAAGGGGCAAGGTTAAGTCAATCAAAGAGTCACAGGGATCCACTCTGTTTTAATGGCCAAAAATATCTTTAATAATTAGTATCGCTTCTCCGTTGATTAATCGACGACGAGAGAAATTTACGAAAAGTTAAACAATTAATAATTGAACTCTGAAGTGACATTGACACAGCTGAGCAGGGAGAGGTAATGTAGAATCTTTCAACTGTAAAACAAAAGTCTTTCGCTTGGCATTTGAGGCTAAATCTTGCCAAAATTATTTGATATTAAATGTTGGATTGAATTTCACAAAATCCTGTATTTGGGGACATGTTTTTGTCCGTTCTCAAATTGGTAGAATGCACATTAAAAAGTTAATCTGTTTCTTACCAGCGTCTCGTAATGTTTCTGGCAAAGTTTTGAAATTCAGAGGCAAACCGTAAGGCTCCGGAGGCTCAATCACAAAGTGCTGCAGCCCTGGAAAGCAAAGAAATAGAGATAACCGCAGCACTTACGTTCTCCTCCGGGGGGGCGGGCGGATCTCTCTCCTCCGCAGAGGCTCCCCCTGGGTATCCCAATAAAAACGATGGGACGACGGAAAGAACGCCTAGAACAGACTACAGTCGAATCCCGATAACTCGAACCTTCAAGGGAAATAGAAAACAGTTCGAGTTATCGAGGGTAAAATTATATAGAAAACGATCTGAAGGGAAATGAAAATTGCTTCGAGTTAGCGGGAGGTTCGAGTTATAGAGGGTTCGAGTTACCGGGAGTCGACTGTACTTAAAAGTGGTTTAATGTTATCATGGCGTAACGTTATTTCCCACTTCAGAGGCTTTTACTAGCAAAGACAAAAGAGTTGTAAACACGCGAGAATTAATGGGAAGAGAGTAAAGGGCATTACTTTTTTCTCCCTTGCCATCGTGCCCCGCGCGCTTTCTTTAATTTTTTTCTCCCCAGCCTCTCTACCACACAAAGAGGCCTCTACGGAGGAGATAACAGGCGGATAAAGGTTGGGCGATGAAACGAGCGTGTCCGGGCAAAATGGTATGAGGCAGTGAACCGCTCGTTTTATCGCCCAACCTTCATCCACCCTATTCTCCTCCCTTAGTTCTCGCGCGCTTTAAGGGCCAATTTGAACCCTTCGGTAGATTGAAGTTAACCATGAATCACATGGAAAATTCAGTTCCATGAAAGGTGCATGGGGAAACCTAGTGGGAGGAAAACCTAAATCACTGTGACAGCGGTATCTGGGCCTTGGAAGACTGAGAGGTGAGTGACATAGAAACACTGCAGGGCCAGTTACGTAAGCGGAGTTTAGCCAGTGGTAAACAAAATCGCTTTCTAAGCCATTTTCAGTTCGCCCAAGGTTTTTATCTTAACACCATTTGTCGTAAAAAGTTTCATGAAAACATGAGGCGTAGACTGGAAAAGCACTTATTTTCCTAAGGGTACACATTGTGGCGCAGGCAAAAAAACCGGTATGCTTGCGTTGCGTGACAGCATGTGAACAGGCTCCTATGAGACCACAGGGGACCCACACAATCTGTTTGTGTAGCCGATTGTTATGTTAAGGAACAGTCAACGGCGAACTCAAATTCATTCAAAATCGCTCAAAAAACCGCTTTTGAGGTAAAAGGACGACTATATACCACAGGTAAGGTAATTCAACGTTTATTTATCGTTGATTTATATACATAGTTAGCGATATATCGCTATAGGTGAAGCGAACGGTAAATACAGTACATTTACTATAAAATAACAATCGGCTACACAAACAGATTGTGTGGGCTCCCTGTGATGAGACGTCTTTTCACACAGCGTGTTCAAAGCGTGACAAGTCTTAAATTTGGCATTGTAGCTTTTTCAAAATCAAATCTACGGCTCTACTCAGGATCACCTGTATGTATGGGGTACCTTCCAGTCATTAGGGTACTTCGGGTTGGCGTACATAGAGGTTGTACGTAGTAGTTGTCCAATATGACGCCTTCAGCTGCCAGTCTGTTGATGTTTGGAGTATGAATAACAGATCCTTGAAATCCCACATCACTCCAACCCAGATCATCAATTACAGTCACTACTATGTTAGGAGGCTTGGAACCATTTGCTGTCTCCAAAACGACAGCGATAAAAAAGAACGCAAACCAGAAAAAGCGAATCATCGTTTATAATGATTACAGATCGGCACTGAAAGCTGTGTGTCTATATCGCTATATCAGCAGTATATAGTATCAAGGTAGGAACACGTGATTCACGTGATTATCATGTGATTCTTTCTAATTGTTACTCATTATCTACCCTGGGTGCTACCTGCGATTAAAAAAAGGAAAAAATGCAATACGGAGGCTCCCAGCCTGTTCCCTGGGACCTGTTATGGGAAATGTGTAAATAAAGAGTTTGCACGGGCGTTCGAACGGGTATGCCAAAAGCATGGGTGTTCGATTACAAAAGAGCCAATAGTAAATAAACTTTCGTCCAATCCTTTATTGAACTATTAAGGGTCAACGAAAAAATTCCACTTCCCAATAGAATTGACCTGCGATCAGGCGGTCCTTTTTTCCTTTTGTTTCAGTTTCGTGACGCTCTGAACCCATGAGAGACCTGCAGGTCAAACATGTCCATATATGTTATTTCAGACATTACTTGATGACAGACTGAAAGGTAATGCTTAACTTAAAAAGTCACATGAATGAATAATCACTCGAGTCTTTTCTTTCAGAAAATCCTACGACATGGGATTACATTATTTTTCAATTTTTGGTGCGCTGTTTGCGTTGTTTGCGCTCCGAGTAAGCGCTGCTCCTTTACATATCTTGCTGGTGGTTATAGATGATTATGGTTGGAGCGATGTTGGGTTCCATGGCTCCAAAATAAAAACCCCAAACATGGATCAGCTTGCTTCTGAAGGAGTTATACTGGATAACTATTACGTGCAACCGATTTGCACACCGACTAGAAGCGCTCTTCTATCTGGCAGATACCCGATACATACAGGTATGATAATGTACTTGTTTCAATGAATAAGATTTCATTATTCTATTACTAAAATATTTGGCCGATTACACTTCGATTTTTGCTTCTGGGGGAGGTAGGAAGGCGATATTGTCTGATTGTTGGCAAAGGTGGTGGTGGTAGTGGTGGGGCAACAACTTTGTGCCAAGAATGTCAAGAATACAGAAGCCTGTGTCAGGGTCTCGGTCTTTGTACAGAATAGCTTAGTAAAATTATTACAACCCAGAGAGAAAAAATCAACAATAAAAAATTTTAGAAGCCTGTGTCAGGGTCTCGGTTCGCACGGGGGACCTGTACATTTAGAGAGAAAAATCGAACAATAAAAAAGCGGCAGCAAGCGAAAAACAGTCTTCTTATCGTATACGTAATTTGTTTCGTATATCTGTTTTTATATTGTATTTTAATGGGAAAACGGCGGGAATGGAGAACGGGAGACCACCTCACTTTCTCTTCCGAGTCCTAACGCAGTTTTTCGTGGACATTGATACTTGTATTAATATAAATCTAGACCACCGTCCGACGTTCGCACGGGGGACCTGGCAGGTCTTTTTGGTCATAGGTTAAGTACACCAGTTTAGTAAAATTACTACAACCCAGCAGTAGTCACAAGATTTTTAGTAACCAATCATTATGCGACAAGTCTAGAGCGTAGCAATTCTTAGAGCTGGGACAACTAGGGCTATGCGCATTTTAGTCTTTGCAAGCAGGCAAGCACTTCTATCTAGCAAGCTTCTTTTAGCTTTTCAAGTAATTTTCTTTTGCCCTCCCACCGCTCCCACGGACAGTCTTCTTATCGTATACGTAATTTGTTTCGTATATCTGTTTCTATTTTAGGACTTTGATTATAAGTTAGAATAAGTATTTTTCAATAGGTGTACTAGGGTTACGCGTTTATGTTTGTAATAAAGACTGTCAGACCCCAAAGTGTGTACTTGTGGTGGTTTAGGCACTTTTTTTTTGATCCGTTTTCCCCACTATCGTATCTTTGAGCCTGGAACAGGCTAAGAATACCGCGACACATACAATTTAATAGGACTTATGTCACGCAATTTTAATTTCTATCAGTTTAAAAAGGTTAGAAGTCTCTTCGCATTGATTGAATTCCAAAAGTAATGTTATAGTTTTGTTAGTTGTATTTTTGACGCATTGTTTTTAATTTCCTGTCGTCTGTTGCTATGGATGACGAGGATGGACACGCCGATTGAAACTTACGCCATTAGGCTAATGGCGTATAGTGCTACCCGGGTAGTTTGTTCGATATCTTCTTCATCATTTTGTGTTTTTGTAAAGGCGCTAAGTAATGACTTGAACGCATAATTGACCTAAAACAGCGTAGCCGCTTTAACTCGCTGGAAAATTATCATGTGGCCAATATCGTCAGAAGTTCGAATCCCGACGAAGTCCTTAATCTTTTTCGAAGTTGCAAAAATTGCATTCGTGACCTAATAAGCATTACTTATTTTTAAATTCTTCATTCACTGTTGTCTTCGATTCAGGGCTTCAGCATGGAGTGATACGTCCTACAGAGCCTTATGGACTTCCACTGAATTTTACCACCTTACCGCAGCAGCTCAAAAAAGCTGGTATGACATTTATTATAAAAATAAGTCATTAGTTTTGTCGCAGTGGGAAAAGTAGACCCTCAAACTCTCCCAGGGCTTTTTCTCTTTTGGAACGAGCTGAGGTTGGTAGAACTTGGCTTAATGACTCATGACTGTGCAAATTTCAATATTGTCCGAGAAAATAATGATCGTCTGCGGGTGGTAGGGAATTTGTCACTAAGAACTGTCCATCATCAAGGTGTCAGCAGAAGGGGAATTTTTGCAAGACCTGCATAGGTGTTGCTTGGTACTTGATTGGAAGGTACTGAGATGGAGTATTACACAAGCCCTTTGGGTGATCGGGAAGTGTGGCGAGTCAGATAAAGGGCCCGTTTCTAATACTAAAGTTGTTGTTGTTGTTGATGATGACAGAAATATAATTTGTTTTACTTCAGGGTATTCAACGCATATAGTGGGAAAGTGGCACCTTGGATTTTATGAATGGTCATATACTCCTACTTACCGTGGCTTTGATTCATTTTACGGATTTTACATGGGAGCTGAAGACCACTTTAACCATGAAAGATATGGCATAGTTGACCTACGTGACAACAAGGAACCTGTTAAAGATAAGGAAGGTGTACATTCAGCCAGACTTTTTGCTAAGGTAATCCTTGTTTGAGGAGCACTCGCCTCCCACCTTCGAATCCTTGCTTCGACGCCATATGTCGCTTGAGTTAGTTGTTGGTTCTCTCACTTGCTCTGAGGGGCTTTTATCCGGGTACTTCGGGTTTCCCCTCTCCTTAAAAACCAACACTTCCAAATTCCAATTCTATGTGGAACGCACGGACATGTTTCAACGAGTTCTCAAGAACTCCTAAGACTGCAAGTGCTCCGTGGATAAACAAATCAGTTACAACAAATTACAAATTACAATTTTTTTAACACGGCGATCATCGCCATCACGGTGCAATTTAAAGAATCATACTTCAGATAGTCAATGAAAAGGTATGCATATCCCCTGGAACTTGAATAGTAATTTTGAAATCTTCTCAAGCTTCCAGAAAACGTATGAAGCCTGGTTAGAAATGCGTCGTCTATAACGCTACTTTTTTTGCTATTTTTGGCTAAATATATCCTACTTATATAGTTTCGGCATCTCCAACAGAGGATAGTGGTCCTATTATCCTTTCGTGGTATGCCATATAGATATAGTCACTTAGATTTTCGTTGAACACTTTCTCCCTATGATCTATCAATAAACCACTGAAAATAGTTTGTGAAAGCAGTTTTAAATAAGGAAAGGCCTTAAACATTTGTTATTTTACACCAACAAACGGTATTTTGTCCGAAGTTAAGGACGTTTGTGAAAAAAGTTCGAAAAACTTCCTCAAAACCATTGTTTTTGTCCAAAATCCTCATCTTTTGTTTAAATAATACATATTGAAACCCTTAAGGTAGTCTCTGAATAAAGGTCAGGCCAAGCCGACACTTTGAGCAGGTACCAAAGATTTCCCCTTTTCCTTTTGTTTTCAGGAAGCAGAAAATGTGATCCTATCACACAATTCCTCAAGACCATTGTTTTTGTATCTACCATTTCAATGTGTGCACTCTCCTACAGAAGCCCCTCAAGAGTATATTGACAAATATAAATTCATTGACAATAAGACAAGAAGAGATTACGCAGCAATGGTTGATATTGTGGATGAAGCCATAGGAAATGTGACTAAAGCTATGAAAAAGGCTGGGTGAGTAGCTCCACCTACTTGGCTATATAATTCCCTGGGATACTCCCAGTGCCGGATACAGACCTTCAGAAAAGGGGGGAGGGTAATTCAGACCCCGAGATAACGGGAGGCGGTCTCAAAACAACTTTTATTCGGCCCTTCGGGCCTCAGTTTGGTCTGAAAATAAGGGGGGGGCACCCGGGCCCCTCTCCTGGATCCGCCACTGACTCCCATATAGGTATGCGCCGCCCCAAAGGGTATGGTTTTTGCACCGTATCGGTCTGAAAGCGGGTGTCCACTTTGCCCGGTTAATCTGGAATAGGGTGTGGTTTTCGAGGGAACTACGGGTGTGTATGAAAGTATTTGTCGTTTCAGTTCCGAATGAATAAGAAAGAAAGAGTAATATGCGAATTCGAAATGGCTTTTAAGAAATCATTTGAGGCAACCAAATCTAAGTAATAATGATATAATTTCTTAGGTCTGAAAGCGCGGGTATTGATTGTAGAGGCCAGGTCTGAAAACGGGTGTGGGACATGACATTTTTTGGTCTGAAATAGGGTCAGAACCGAGCGGCATAACTCACCAAGAAATCCTAGGAGTATCCCCTGGGATATAAACAGGCAGCATAGCCTGGGGGAAGGTTGCTGCATTTCAATTCGGCTGGCGTCCAGGGTTCCAGTCCTAATCTGCGTTCAACTACTAGGTTATGCTACAATCTTGGACAGAATAAAATGGAACAGCAGTCCTCCATCCCCCCAGGAATCAAGTACGAAGCCTCGGGAAAGCCAAAATGCGCCCTTTTCCCATCCTCAATTTGCCGGGAGGGCTAAATGTTCCGTCAATTTTGTCCAAGATTGTAGCCTGCGTGGCAAGCACATAAAACATTTACGGCCCAAAGTAGGAGGTGGCGCGTGTAGGGGAGCGTGTCGTGCGTGTCCTCCTCTCTCGAACGAATCATTTCACTCGCGCTGAACATCTGTCTGCCACGCATGCAGGCTTCAATTTTTTATTATTCAATTGACCTAGCTGCGGCTATTTAAATCGGTGCGAGCGCTGAATGAAAATTTTTACCAATCGTAGCGATTATATGGATACATCACTTCAATGATCGTCGCATTGATAGCAAGTGCTGAAAAAGACTTTTGCATATATCCGCTCTACAGTTGCTACAATCGCTCAGATCGCAAGTCTTTTTCAGTGATCCCATCCATTCGGGACACCAACCGTTAAAGCGATTTTGGTTTGACCTCCCAAAATAGAGTTGAAAAGTCCAATACATGGATTCGTCGTTTCGTCTAAGGCTTCTTCAGGAATCTTGGGCAATCTTTCTTCAGTTGGCAATGCTTTGAGCATACGCTAAACCAAATAAAATCTTGAGGTTTTTGTGACATCCGGAATATCCAAGGTCGAGGTAATTGTTATCAGCTGATAACACTTACCGAATCTAATACTTGTTTTATTATACAGTGTTTTGGGACAAATAACGACATATCCACCGTCCCATTGTTTTTGGAAATCATGCATTGCGCTCGCAACCTACAGGTAAGTCAGTTATCTGCTAGCAGATAACTAACCAATCTGTAGGTTACGCTGATTTCAAAATTAACTGGAGGATCTTAGCCAATGAGAAGATAGATAGTGAGTACAATGTATAATAATACTATTTGTTATATAAACACCAATGAAATACCAAGTGAGCTTTCGCGCGAAAACTTGATATCTTATGTGAAAATAACATGTTATCTTCACATGTGAAAATATCACCACTGCTATGGCTTCATAATAAACCGCACCTTTCAGAACAAAAAACTATTTAAGTAAAATGGTTTGGCATTTCATTGGTGTTTATATAATAAATAGAACATTACATGGTCGACACTCGAATAGAAATTTCGTATCTCCGCGCGGCCGTGTGACATCCTCTATTTTTATCAAGCTGCCTATTTTCTTGTAGTCTATGGGACGACACCTTGTTGATTGTTTCTACCGATAACGGAGGTATTCCAAGTAGCGGAGGTTATAACTGGCCCCTCCGTGGATACAAAGGCACCCTGTGGGAGGGAGGGGTCAGAGGAGTTGGATTTGTCCATGGAAAAATGCTTCAGAGAACTGGCGTCAAGTGCAAAGAACTCCTTCACGTGACAGACTGGTACCCAACCCTTCTCTATTTGGCAGGTAAAGTTTAAAGGTTGTTTACCACTCATCAGACCATTTACAAAACTTTTCCGGAAAATCCGGTTGGAAAGTAAATTAAACTCTCTTTTTTATTAGTATTTATTTTTTTTTATTTCGCACACACAAACAATTACAATACGTTACATTTACAATTCATTACAGGTAACTGTTATCGTTTACAAAAAAGAAATAAAAAGAAAGAGAAAGACAAAGTCCACAAAAATACTATAGTTTATATATTAACAATTAGGAGAAGGCTGCCTGCCTTATGGTCCTCCATCACCCATAATCCGCCCGTTTGTCACTTGCGCTTTAATTAATTGTATTGGTCAAATTATATTCTGAGGGGCATTGTTTGAAAGTAACCCATTTCTTGCTAAAAGAGGCTAAGTTATTACTATCAAACGCATCTGTTTCTCAATTTCCAAAGTAAATTAAAGTAAGTAAATTAAACTCTACTTTTTGGGTCGTTCCAGGGGAACATTTCCGGGAGCAGCAGAACGTCTGAAAAGGTAGTCCAGGGGTGGTGCTTACCATTTACACAAACAACCCTGGTGGAAATCTTGTGAATGAACATAATGCTTTAGAATTTGGCGTGGTGGGACAATAACCCACTACAAAGTATATCGAAATCAACTGAACAGACTGAAAAGTGTAGAGAAATTGCATCGCCTCAAATTACAGCCCATATTTTCTGAAGCTTCCCAATAAACGGAATGGTGAGAACCATTTGATTTTCCAACAGGAGTCTCCGGTTTTCCCATGTACATGTTCCAAAAGGAAATTCGTGCTCCATTTCTTCAAAGCTATTTTTGACACCTTTCTCGGGCTTTCGCGGCCATTTTTCGACAAATTAAGGTGATTTGTACAAATGCTAAACGTAATTTCGGGAAGAAATTTACCAGTCCCGAATTTTGCTTACCATTAAATTTGCCCAAATCGACTGGTTTGCCCATGTCAATGGTAAACACCCTTTAAGTTGCCTTGTATTTTTCATATGGGTTTTGATTTTACACCAAGCAACACAGTGGCTAGTCTGCTACACAGCCGTTTTTAGTGTCGTCACGCAACGCTCCTCCCCTTCGGGCCTCTTGGTCTAAAAATAAGGGGGGCCCCCCCGGGCCCCTCCCATGGATCAGCCACTTCAACAGTTGTTCAAAAGGTGGATAGAAGTATCCTCTGGATAAATTCTACTCAATCCCAATTTTTTAGGCATTGAAGATGACGGGACTCTTCCTCCACTGGATGGCTTCAACATTTGGCACAGCATATCTGAAGGAACTGCGTCGCCAAGAAAAGAGATTCTACACAATATTGATTTGTCTCCAAGCAAAAGCGACTTCTCAAAATTTGATACCCCCGACTATGAAGGCATTACAATCCGTGTTGATGACATGAAGCTGTTGATGAACGTCCCCAATATGACGTGGTACAAACCGCCGGAATTACTCCCGCATTTAACTAATGAAGTCAGAAAGGTGCGTACAATTTTTTTCCGTAATAAACTGATCACCCTTCTTTGTGATATACTTAACACCCCTGAGTTCATTCATTCAGAGATCTTTCCATGATATGTATACAATCCTGAGAAAGCGAATAACATGGTGAAAAATAGAAATAACATCTGCATCATCCCAGCTGTCCCATTTTACCAGCGAGTTCAAGGATTGAAATTGAAAACTGCTGCTTCACAGGTGGTTTTATAAAGTGTCGTTTAGGTTCTAACACTGCTGGAAAGTAGTATTTGGAATTTGTTGGGGAGGCAAAGGGTAGTTGTACACTCTGTACAGCGGTCAATGTTTGAAAATTCTACACAGCAACTGAGAGAGAAATTGGCAAAAAGGCAGGAAATTATGCAAAGAAATGTTTCTCCAGTATACTGATGTACATTGACAGTATAGTAAGCCTGAAGCGCAAAAAGAATATATGAGAATACCATTAACTACCGCGTATAAGCCCCCCTTCTCACCCCACTTATAAGCCCGTCCCCCCAGTTATAGGCCCACCTACCTGTAAACAAAAAAATACATCCGGTTATACCCCCCCCCAATAGCTCCCCTCCAGCTTGTATTCAAATAAATTCGATTTTGACGTCGTTTTGAGGCTCAATAAGGAGAGTAAATTCAAAACGTATTTTGATCAGCACTGCCATCAAGTCGCCTTTTATAGTCCGGTTATGTAAGCCCCCTCGGATATAAGCCCCTCCCGTTGGTAAGCCCCCTCGGATATCAGCCCCTCCGGTTATAAACCCCCTCGGATATAAGCCCCTCCCGTTTATAAGCCCCCTCGGATATAAGCCCCTCTGGTTATAAATCTCCTCGGATATCAGCCCCTTCGGTTATAAACCCCCTCGGATATAAACCCCTTCAGATATAAACCCTTCGAATATAAGCCCCTCCGTTTTTAAGCTCTCCTAAAACCCCTTACGAAGTTGTATAAGCCTAGGGCTTTTAAGCGGAAGTTTACATTAGGTGGTTTTAATAACAGTGTGCCTGTTTACACAGTAATGTATCAGTTCTATAATCTGCTTTGGCCTTCAAACGTAAATTGTTTTACTGAGCCTTTGTACGAGATAGCAGCTGATCACTGTTAAATTTGGTTAACAGAATTTCGATGATAACATCAAAGTTGCCCTATTCAACATCACTGCTGATCCAAATGAACACATCGACCTCAGCGAGCAACTCCCGGATGTGGTAAAGAAGTTACAGGACAGAGTACAGTATTACATGAAGGGGTTAGTCCCTTCGGGAAAAAAACCCGCTGACCCAAAAGCCATGGAAATGGCGCGTAAGAAAGGATACTGGGGCCCTTGGAGAGGTTGAGACGGTTACAAATCTTGTATTGCATGCTCATTTGCGGATTGTTTTTAAGGTGATGTTACACGAGACGATTCGCAACGACGATTTTTAGCGCAACACAGGGTTGCAAGATTGTTGAGACATTGTTTCGAATAGTTACAACATTGTTCCAGCATTGCAATGCTGTGTTGCGCTAAAAATCGTCGTTGTTAATCGTCCCTTGCAACATAACCTTTAGGGTGCGGTCAGTTCCAGTGATTAAATGAATTTAAGTTGACAATTAACTCAAAAGATATAAAGTGAGATGGGTAGTGTAAAGTGGTACTATTAATTTTTGATACATTATTTTTTCTTTCATGTCATCGAGTTCTCGAGAAAATAATTGGTGACATGATACTGTCGTGAAGTCGAATTCTTCCTATTTAGAGTTTGTTTGGATTCTAGACGCACTTGAGATTTTGCTAAGTCGGCATTTTGATTTTTTATGTTCTCATTTTTTTAGTAACCTTTACCGCGTGTTGACCAATTTTTTTGTACCGAGCAGCTGTCTTCTGTGATGAAAGCTATATCATAATACTGCTTACTTTGTCTTTTTTTTGTTTATTTGTCTTTTAACTGTTTCAGTTCTACAGGTTGTCACTTTTGAAACCTTGAAAAGTCCTTGAATTTTCTTCAACTTTGATTGTAGTGGCCTCGAAAGTGTTTTTTGATGCTTTTTGATTGTCCAAGACAAAATATGTATGTGTAATCAAATGGTGAAGATAAAGGCTCGGGAAATTATTAGGATTTGGAGAAAACGCCAGTGAAATTATTCCCTAATTTGACGAGTATACCATCTGATTACCTATTAATATCATGGGTGACGAATTACGTTAGCAGTCTTGGATTTTTGACATGTTTATCCTGGATCATATCGATCGAGAACTCCACTCTCTCAAATGTTTAGATCTTAAATTTGGCTTATAGAGTTCAGAATTTTTCAGACTGTTTCGGCAAAATACCTGTTAGAGTCCTTCTTGATGTTCTCTTGTGTGTTCAGGTTTTCTAAAGCGTCTTTTTGTGCCCTGAGATGTTCATTCACGGCATTTTAAAACTTCGTCGCCATCTTGACACTGAGACGTACGAAAGGCTGCCATAGCAATTTTGTAATTTCACATGTGAAATTACAAATTATCGCTGAAATTTCGCGCCAAAATTAAGGAGTAATTCGTCACCCATGATATTAAAATCATAACTCAGAGAGTGTAAAGGTCATTTACGTACAGTGTTAAATGTTTTCTGCAATAAAACACGTACAATACGTACAATCTATGAAATTATATTCGTAGAAGGTGGTTCTTGAAAATCAAATGTGGCCCTTGAAAAGTCCTTGAAAGTCCTCGGAAAATGGTTGCAATTGTTAGTATGAACCCTGGATAAAAATTAAGCTTATGAAACAACCTTCTTTATTAATACAAAACATTGAGATCACTTCTCAGATATGCTATGTCTGGTTGTGCGATGTAATAATAAATTGGAGACTGTAGTCGAACCTCCCATAAGCAACCACCCAAAATGCGAAGATCTAGTGGTAGCTTACGGGAGATGGTCGCTTACGAGAACCAAACCACACGGAGTCTCTTCCGAGAAGAGGTCCCGATCTATCTACTTTTTGGCCTAGAATTTATTGCATGTGATTTCTTACTAGTTACTTGTACGTTTCTGAGTTCCATGTTGTCACTGAAAGTTCTTCAAATATAACTCTGAGTGGTGTAGTACATACAGCGAATAAAGGGGCCACACCATGCGTCAAGTTGTCCCTTAGAAGCGGAATGGAAAACTATAAAACCGTCAGGTGGTGGTTTACGAGAGGTTCTTCAGATTATAGGGCTTTGACTGGGAAAATTGTGGTGTTAAACACGGAGGTTCCTCTGTACGTAGTTTTATCTGAATTTTTAAAGTTCTGGTTTTACCTTGAAGAATTGAGGTAAGGAACATGGTCGGATAAGGAATTCCTTCTGTCAACAATGCCTTGTAAAGGAAAGTTCTGACATCCGGTCACCAAAACGGTCAACAAAAATGTGCAACTTGTTTTGTAAATTGCTGCAATTGCTACTGTCATGTTTACTACCCACGTTTAAACTTGTTAACAACTTGATTTGTTGCAAGACAGGTTTGAACGTGGTTGGTAAAACGCGCAACATCGCTATTCAACTCGTTTTGCAGCAGTGTTGCAAGACAAGTGGCATGTTTTTTGTTGCCCATTTTTTAGTATCTTTAACTGTAACCTTGTTTTAGCAAGCGGATGATCGAGCCATGTCCAGTGACACTTGTACACACCATAAGTGTGTAACAAAGTAAAGAATGACAAAAGGTTAGTGACTACGAAAAAGTGCGATATCAACCTTACTTTAATGTTTTAAACTATTTCACCCTTCCACAACACTGAGAAGTGTGCAACTAAGTAAAGAAGGGCAATTTAAAAAAAGGGTTGTGGAAAAAATGCAACAAAAATCTTAATTTGTCAGACTATTCCTCGCTTCCACCTCTAGAAGTGTAGAACTAAGGATGAAGAGAAAAAAAAAAGCAAAGCGTGTAAACAGAACAATTGGTTTAAGATCAACAAAAAAAAGGCCGTAATCCAGAAAGATCTAGTGTTCTCGTTAGTGCGCTGAATAACAATACTGTATATGCGGAAGACAGAATAATGAGACTCCCAGTCTAAACCTTGGGATATATGAATTTCACCAATTGAAGGTTACTTTTAGACCAAGCAAACGCTTGAAATTGATCGGAAATTTATATTTTTCCGGAGTGGTCTGCAACTTTTTTGTTCGATGTTGTCCAGAGAGATTAAAATATTCTGCATTAGCAGTAGCGCGTGGACATTAGAGAGTTTAAGCTCCACGTATACAGCAAACGGCAAAAAACAGATCCGATTTGAGAATTTCTCAAAATAGAAAATGAGCAGATAAAAACTGCTCAAAACAATTCTTATGGATAAAAAATTGCGTGAAACTACTATTTTAGGTGTAGAAATAATGAACAGTAAATACAAATTCGCGTTTGCCGGTTGACGTAAACGTGAAGTTGGACCCTTCTATTGATGACGTTCGAAAATCGATTAAAATGTGCGGACGTCTCAGAAATTATACTTACGTTTTTGAAATTCACATATCCCGGCTAACGCCCTAAGATAACCTCTCTGCCCCATTATCCTCTCTAATGCGCATGCGTTAAAATTGACCGAGCTTGTTTGGTCAAGATGGCGTAATATTGGCCAAGTTCGTTGACCGAACAAGCTTGGTCAATAAAGGATTTATCATA